AGCCTGGGTCGAAGGGGACCGTTAGAGATGCCGATGGCCTTCACAGAGGCAAGGAGGCCTGCTTCCAGTCTAGCTTTTGGGCAAGTCACATGGCTTCATTCAGCCTCAGTTTCCTCATCTTTCAATTGGAGTAATTTACCCAGCCTGCCGGCCATCGGCTGTGCTGCATGAGGTAGGTGTTCAGTGGACTTGACATAGTCATGATCATGGTGCTGTCCAATTAGGCCTTGGCTTGCTTTATCCCCAGGCCCCCTTCCCTGCTTCCTCGGGCCCCACGCTGAACTAGGGCTCAGGTCTGTCTTGAGGAGCGCCGGGTCAGGGGTCGGGTGTGTTGATCCAAGCCTGTCTTGACGGGCCCCGGCAGTTGCCTAAGACAGAAAACCTCAGCTCAGAGTGCTTTAAACAAACACAAACATGCCTCCGCTCGGGTAACTGGAAAAGCCAGGGGTACCAGCCTTAGGCAAGGCTGGATCCAGACTCAGAGGCTCACATCAAGAAACGGGTTCTTGTGTCTCAGCTCTTATCTGCTGCATTTCCTTCCTGGGCTCTCCCTTAGGACCCCCACCCCCACCCCCCAGGTCCACATTGGCCTCTGACCAGTTTAGCAGCCCCTGTGGGTAATGAGAACTTCTTTCCCCGTGATTCTAGCCAAAGCGGCAGTCTTGGGCACATGTCTATCTCTGAACTAATCATGGTGCCCAGGGATATAAATCTCTCTGGTCACCTGGGCTTGGGTTGCATGGCTTTCTGCACAAAGCAGAGGAAAGGGAACATGTCCCACATAGCCCCAGCCCAAAGCACCTGTCGGCTGTGCTCCACCACCCAGGGCATGATCATGGTCTTACATTCCAGCCTTGCTTTGTACACGCTGCTTCCTTTATTCGTGATATGCTTCCTAGTGAACTCCTATTGATCCCTCAGAACCCTATCCACATATCACCTACTTTGAGAAGCTTCCCTCCACCTATCCAGCATCTGGTGCTATACGTCACACTTTCCGCACTTGGCTCATCTCATGTCACAATTGCCACAGGCTGCAGGCAAAGGATACCAAAGCTTGGGGACAGAGGTAGAGAATTGTTCCTCTGCTAGAGACTCCATTGCCCTGCCCTGTGCTTCCCTGATTCGCGGTCTGCTTCTCCCACCTGGGCTCTGAATGCTGAACGAGTCCCTGGGCACAGAGCGAGTGCTCAGGACAGCTCAATGGGAAAGATGACCACTGATGGAGTCAGGCCCAGGTGAGTGCAGAACTGACCAGAGAGGGAGGAGGCCATGGAGGGAGCATTGGGCAGCCCAGACTGTTTGCATGTGGACCAGCTCCTTGGTCTGTCAGCTGCTCGTGGCCTGGGAGCGTGAGCGGGCATGCGTGTGTACCTATGATGCAGGACACCATGGCCATCTTGAACTTAGACAGCTTGCTCCTTTTCCCATTCCCAAGACTGCCTCCTTGGGTCTGCCATGATTCAAGGCCTGGACAGGCCATAGGTCAGACCAAGGAGGGGCCCAGCAGCACAAGGGTGTGGAATTGGAAGAAGAAAGGCTGAGGTCTGGCCTGGGCTCAGGTTCACTCAGAGACCTCCTTCCTGATGCGGTTCCTATGGCACAGGGATGTCTGCTCCTGTGTGCATGCGGAACCCTGGGTGGTACCATGCATTGAAGAAAGAACTGTGAGAGAACCAGTGGTCCTGAAGGACAGGCGGTGCCCAGATGCAGGGTCCCACCTCACAGGCCCACATCCTCTAGAACCAAATCTCATCTTGCTTTACTCACGCCAAGGAGAGGATTTGGTTCTGCCCCTGCTGGGTGGCCTGCAGCCCAGGTCCGGCCTTCTGGGCCCAGCATTTTTACCAGCACTGCTTGTTCTACACACTTTTAATCAGACTGCTATCTGGGCCTGACTTGTCTCCCCAATGTCCCCAAACATCCTTCCTAGCCACACCAAGAGAAAAGAGTCCTGCCTGGTGGTTCTCTGCCAGACAAGGGCGCCATCTTGGAAGTGAAGTCAACTCCAGTAGACCCCCTGCTTGCCTGTTTCTGCTGTACGGCATGGGGACGTGACTCTGTCTCTGGACGCCAGGTCCTCCTGGTGATGTGCAGGTGTTGGTCTGGAGTTGGACACACCACTGGAACTCCCTCCCTGGGGGTGCTGTGGCCACATGGGGCACGATCCTGCAGGGTGTCCCAGGCACTCCACTAAGGCCAGGCCTGGGAGAGGACAGTGCCCTGGCAGACCCTGGATCCCTGTTTCCTCGGCAATGGTGGAAAAGGGGAGGCAGAGACCCCCTTCCCCCCAATGGTGGCCACTGCTCTGTGGAGACAGAAATCCCAGTTCCTCCAAGTGGGGACACAGGTGCCACCTGCCACCTCTGTACCCAGCTGCTGTCCACATGGACAGTGATGTGCATAGTATCTCACTCCTGCCTCCTGCTTGGGGGAAGCTCCAGTGGCCAGTGGGATCTGGGTCACCTCAGACAGACAGACCCGGGCTGCCATGTGGCCTCAACATGTTGCTCAAAAGCCCCATGCGGTCACCACGCGTCTCAGGGCCTCCACTGTTGCTTGGCACACTCCACAGTCCAGCCTCTGTACCAGGGAGCCCAGCATTCCTGGGTTTGGGATCCAGACAAGCCACCTATGACCACTGGCCTCAGTACCCACAGGCCACCGTGTCCTCAAAGCCCAGGTGGCCTCCTGCAGGCTCTGGAAACCTGCCCTGCCTGAGAAGGACCAAGGAATCTGAGGACAGGGGACTCCCCAGCTGTCCTCCCAGCTAGTGGACACCTTCCTTTTATCACACCCTACCCAAACTTTCAGACTTGTTTCCTTCTGCCCTGGGCCTGACCCTCGAAGCCACATGGGTGATGTTCTCTGAGTGATTTCTTCACAAAACACCTGCCTGTGGCAGGAATGTGAGAGTCCATCCTGCCACTGTCACCTGCCAGAGCCGGCAGGGTCTGCCGTTGGCCAGAGTGTATCATCTTCTTCCCCTGGGGACACCTAGCAACCCCTGCCGGAATAAAGCCATCTCTCAAGCCTGTCCCATTTTGGTCACAGGTCCCTTGCCGCTTCTAGAGGTGGCCTTTGAGGAAGAACATCTAGTGGCGGGGGCTTCTGGTGTATTCCATGGGCTGCTTCTGCCGGGCTCAGTCTCTGCCCGACACACAGGCATGGGCTTCCCACTGACTGTAGACACACCCTGCTCCTGAGCAGAACCCAGGGACCCTGGGTGATGGACTCACCACACTGAGGCTGTAAGAATTAAGAATGCTCCTTGGCTGGCAAAGAGACGAGGGCACTCATGCCCGGGGCAGGGGCTTCAGGGAGACAGCCACAGGCTGCAGCAGGCATTTGAGGGCAGGGATTGATGTGGGAGAAACACGAACATGTTGGACAGATTTTTTTGGATCTGCACGTCCAGTGCAATCCCGTTTGCAAAAGCTGGGAAAGAATGTAGCGGAACACTTACCTCCAGGCCCTGCAGAACAGCCTCCAAGTGGGAAGTTGGTGAGCCCAGATGTGCAGACATCTGGATGTCACCTGTTTGGGTCCTGGCTTATACGGATGTCAGCCCAGTTTTTATGCACTATTATCAAACATAATCAGTAATTATCTGTGGTTTGCTCAGCCGACAGACGGGTCATTCCTTCCCTGAAGTAACCAGTTCTAACCATGACTTTCACACGTGCAGGACTGATCCAGGGTGGAGATGTGGCGGGCTCCCAGGAGCTTTTGGGTTTCTCCTCTGAATGTGATTCTAATACCAAAACAGCTCTCGCCTAGGGACCCCCTGCTGGGTTTCAGGCACAGTGTTTTCTTTTTTGGGGGAGGGGGGGTTCTCATTCTCATGGCAACTCTATGAAATAGACACATCATCATCCCCATTTTACAGAAGAGGAAACTAGAGCTCAGAGAGATCAGGCTACTTGCTCAGCATGATCCAGCTGGGATCCTAACTTGGGTTTGTCTGAGTCTCGCCACCTACTCGTCTTTCCACTATGTAAATCACAGAGACTCTCAATTTTCTGAAAAATTGAAGATGAGCCCTTGGTAAATGCAGTTTCCATTGACTTTGTTGTGATCCTGCAGCCACATGCCCATTAATTCTGATTCGTCTTTAAGGTGTGAGTTCTGCAGTAGATAACCTGGAAGTACTCCTTAGCTTCTTGGAGACCCCGGGCCAGCAGACTCAGGGGTAAAGAGTCCTGTCGTCATGCTGAGTGGAACAGACATCACCTGGAGAACAGAGCAGGGGACATAGGACTGGCCAGAGCCAGCTCCTGCTACAGGAACCAAGTGAGGTGCCTCCTTGACTATGGGTGGACATTCAAGGCGGGGACTCTTTAGCACGAGACCTATTTCCAAGGAGGCAGAGCTAGAACGCTGTTCCAAACCTTCCTCACCGTACCAGCTTCAAAACTCATCTTGATTCCTGATCTTTTCTCTCCCCGCTCATCCTGTGGCACAGTGTGTCCCTTGTGGCTGTCCAGCTGGACCCAAAGCTCTGCACTTGCAGGACATCACCAATCCCCTCCCTCTTTCTAACGTTCTGCTGAGAACATGGGGTCCACTTGCACTTTATGCCTGGCATTAGTGTTTCATGTTCTGTGTTCCAAACATGATGTGCGAGTGCATGCATGTGCGCTGCCCTGGACAGGCACCGGGGAGGCAGAGATATAGCTCAGAAGTGCGTGGCCAGCAGAGCGCATGCTCGGCAAACCCAGCTGAGCATGCAGAGAGATGCCCTTCGCCCACACGGGATCGGTGGGTGGGCGGCGGCACCAGCATGCAGCTTGAGGTCTGCATTCACTGGCTCCTGACTGGTTAAGTGTTCCAACTCTTATTTGGAGGCAACCAGAGGATGTCAGCGTATAAAATAAAAAGTGTAGTTTTTTCTGGAAAGTCTTCCTTTGAGAATCACAGACTGCTCGGGTTGCGTTTGGGTTCTGGGCAGGGTTCCCTGTGCATCCTCTTGCTGAGAACATTGTCCTTTGTGTCCACAGGCCTCCCACCCTGAGCGGCAGTCCTGTCATCTCTGACATTTCCTTGATCCGGCTTTCCCCACACCCTGCTGGTCCTGGGGAGTCCCCCTTCAATGCCCCGCACCCCTACGTGAACCCCCACATGGAGCACTACCTCCGGTCTGTGCACAGTAGCCCCACCCTCTCCATGATCTCTGCAGCCAGGGGCCTGAGCCCCGCAGATGGTGAGTAGGGGCTGGGGGCTGGGAGGAGCAGCTGTGGTATCGGGGCATGGTATGGTGGGCGCCCGGTGGCTCTGTCAATGCAGCCATCACTCATGTTGGGTTCTCCAGCCTCAGTCCCCTGGGACAGTGACCAGGCTCAGCTTTCTCCCCACTACCTCTGAACATGGATTGCTTAAGTAAATAAGCCTGGAGATTTGGGGGTCCATTGTTTTTCATGCTCATTAAAGAGTCCCCTGTGTGCAGCCCCCGAGTGCTGTACCTTGACAATATTTAGGTCCTGTCCTAGGTGAAGCCCCCGCTGCAGAAGCTGGCAGGAAGCAAAGTGGGCTGTGGTAGGGGTGTCTCTTGGAACCCCAGAGAGAGCAGAAGGGAGGCAGAGCGGGGCTGGCAGCTGCCAGCATCTCTGTTTCCTGTGCCCTTTGCAAGTCAACACAGGAGGCCTGCAAATGGTAGCCCGGCCCCGACACTCTGTCAGTGAGCCTGTGACTTTGCGTCTGTCAGTTCAGATGCTTGAGAAAGAGGATAGATTGGTCCAGGTTAGAGATCACATGGCCACTCCCAAATGATCAGGGCCATAGGGTGCAAAAATGTCTTTCAGACCTAAAATTGTGTACTTCTTGTCCACCTGCCACCCCGTTGCTACATAGGTGCAAACGCACATGCACCAATGTGCATGCAAATACACACACATACACACACACACACACACAAAGGAAAGTAAAAAGCACCTTATGGAGCTGTCCTGCTCATGCAGCTTGCAGTGTTCCTAAGAAGACTGCACTAAGAGGAAAAAATCTAAGAGGAAAAAATCATGTTGCTTTAACAACAACTAGCACCAAGTTTATGCCTATTTGTTATAGCAGCCTCAAGATACTAATACTCACCATAAAAGGTTCCTAGAAAGAGGCAGAAGCCATCAGCTCTGTAGGGGCCTCAGTGGGAGGCAGAAATGACAGATTGCCCTGGAATGCTAAGGGGCCATGGGGCAGTCAGCCTAGCAGGAGGCCAGGACTCTCTGGAGGAGACAGGAGGATGGCAACTACCACGGGCTGCTTTCATCTCTTCATTACAGGCCTACGAGATGTCGTGGGGGTACTGACCAAGACTAGTAGGCTGTGAAGCACAGTGGTTAGGATCTTGAGCTTTAGATTCCAACCAAGAGTCCCATCCCAGCTCTGTCACCTCCCTGCCATGTGACCTTGCACACTGTTAAGCTGCTCAGGGGTCAGAGTCTTTGTCTGCTCAGTGGGGACGACAGAACCCTCCTGGACCCTGATGTTGAGATTAAAGTATGCACATGAGCCCTCAGAACCGGGCCTGCCGCAGACCCAGCAGGTGCTCGGCAAGCTGTCACTGATGTCATCCACAGCAGTGTCAGTGGGGGGGACCTTCTCACCCCCATTTCACTGATGAAAAACGGAGCCAGCTCAGAGCTGGTGCCTCGGGTTTTGCACATCGAGGAAAATCAGAACCCTTGATTGTTCTTGGTGTCCAGCTCTAGGTTGTTCCCTGCTGGGGCCACCCGCCCAGTGCCACCCCCCGCCCAGTGCCAGCCCCCCACAGTCTGAATCCCATCCTCCCTGCCTGATTCCTCACCCTGGGCACAGCTGACTGCAGGGTGGGAGCAGTTAGCCCTGAGGCGGGCGCCGGGGACAGGGAGCTGGTGGGCATTGGCAGGTGGAGAGCCTGTGCTGTCCAGCTGGTGACTCTTGGTGGCCCTCTCACCCTGAGTGTTCTGGCAGGTGTGCAGGTGAAGGCGGGGCCAGCACCGGACTCTAACGGCGCCTCTCTCTCCCTCGCTCCCACAGTAGCCCACGAGCACCTTAAGGAGAGGGGGCTGTTTGGCCTCCCTGCCCCGGGCACCAACCCCTCCGACTATTACCACCAGATGACCCTCATGGCGGGCCACCCCGCACCCTACGGGGACCTGCTGATGCAGAGCGGCAGTGCCACCAGCGCGCCCCATCTCCACGACTACCTCAATCCAGTGGACGGTGAGTGTCAGTGGGGTGGACCCGCGGCGGGTGGGGGGGGGGGCAGGCAAGGCAGGACCGGGGGACTGACAGGGTCCTCTTGACACTGCAGAGGGCAGTCCCCTGCCACACTTGCAGTTCACCGGGACACTGAGTGGCCAAGATCGGGAATGGTGTCAGGCATGGTGGACATCACAACAGACATAACTCTGCTTTGGCAGACCCTGCAGAGTCATGGGAGAAACAGACCCTGCCCGCTCCTAGGAATCAGTGTGCTGAAATGGCCAGTTAGAAATGAAACAGAGGCACAAAGTGGGGAACAGGGACAGGAGCACTGGGATGAAGTGAGGGTGCCATTTCGAAAAAGAAAGCCTGAGAAATGCCTGCTGGGAAGCACAGAATTGGAAGAGGTGAGCTGTGTGCAAATCTTGGAGAAGAGCAATCCAGGCAGAAGATCAGCATGTGCAAAGGGCCCGAGGCATCAGTGTGCCTGCTGAGCTCATGAAACAGCCAGGAGGTCATGGGCTTATTATGGTTGGTGGGGAGCCAATGAGGGGCAGGAATGGAGGTGAGGCCAGTGTTCTGGGGTGGGTAGTGTTGCCTAGTGAGGATTTGGTGATGACTTTGGCTTTCATTAGAGTAAGATGGGACCCTGAGAGTAGGCAGAGGCTGCCCAGAGGAGTCAAGAGAGGTCTGAGAATTGGTTTGGGACAAGGCAGGAGCAGGGGTCCCATTGACAGAGCTGTGAAAGCGGTTGTTCCCATAGATTATGACACAGATTTGTTCCCAGATCAATTGTGTTGAAGAGAGAAGGGAGTGGAGATCGACTCAGGGGCTTGGGCCTGAGTGACTGAAGGATGGAGTTGTCAGTCATCGAGACCCACGGCTGCTGGAGGGCCTGTTTGGCGGGGACCTGACAGGGATGTCCCGCATAGAAGAGGTTTCCGGTGCCTCTCTGGCCTGTCGGGTGTCTATCTGACCATGAGCCTCTGCTAGCGAAGACAGGAAGGGCCAAGGGCTTGGTGCCCACCCCTCCTCTGTCAGAGTTGCTCCACCTGCTGTTCCTGGAGCCTGCCCATAGGTCCAGGAAGTCACAGCTGGGGCCAGGCCGCTGGCTCCTGCAGGTTGGACTCCTCAGGCCCTCCCAGGGTGGCTTTTTCTCTCCCTAATGGACCATAATAGGAGGAGTCAGAGGCCTATGGGAGATGGCCCATCCTTGAGAGCAGCTCTGGGGCCTACAGGGCCATGTGAGTGCGTCCAGTTGGGAGTGGGCCGCTGGGCGCTGTGGGGCCAGAGAGGTCTGTAGGACATGGGTGGTCCCTTGCCCAGGTGCAGGCTTGAGCCCTCCCGGAGACGCGTCTCCTGAGCTTAGATCTCACCTCCAGTCTTTCTGGAGATGATATGGTGGGGTCATGAGCCACCCTGAGTGTCTCCTGAGCCCCCAGCCAAAGTTTTGCTGGGGAGGAGCACCACAGTCCTATCGTGGATGTGGTCCCAGGCCATCCTCGCCATGCCCTGCAGAGAGGCCACAGCATGCCCCAGGGATGCCACCTGCATTTGGTCCCTTCCCTCTGTGCCTTCCCCAGTGTGGGTGCCATCGAGCACCAGGCGTGCAGCATAGGGTGGGAACGCCCGCAGCTCTCTAAGATCACGAGGCCCCTCTGGGCACACACATGTCATCTGTGTCTTGCCTTCTCTTAACCAGCCCTCCAGGTGCAGCAGGTGAGGGTCTGGGGGATCGTGTGCAGCTCATGCTGCCCCCCACCCCCGAACACAAACCAAACCACAGCAACGCCGTGCGCAAAGGTAGCCAATGCTGGTGCCCCCAAACACCAGATCCCCTCGCATAGGACTAGGGTGTTGCTCGGCCAGCTGGAAAGGGGACGGGGCAAAGATACCATAGTTGAGAAGGGTCAAGTCAAGCAGGTATTTCCCCCAAAAGCAGCAAAGGCCAAAATGGGTAGCCAAGGCTTGTCTGCCTGTTTCAGCCACCTAAGCACCTGCTTCATGCGTGCCGTGTGCAAAGGAGGAGAACCAAGAGTAAGAACTGTACTTTGTTATCATGCATTTTCTCCTTAACCACCTTCTGAGGCTGGAATTAGGCTCCCTACTATACCACAGGCAATCGGGGTCCTAACATCAGGTGACATGTCCCCAACCTCCAGCTGGAATTCCCAGCCCTGCTGTTGACAGAATCATCTGCTCTTCTCTGGGACACAGCATAGAACCAGCCCCCGAGCCCTGGCCTCAGGAAGGGCGTCTGGGCTCACTGTGCCGGGGCTCAGTCTAGAGGCGCAGGACAGTCCCGGCCAAGGCAGAGGACAGCTGACTTGCTGAGGAAGGCGGCAAGGTGGGCCAGGCCAGTGCTCACCGTCTGGTCATCACTAACTTAGCCGGAGGCGGTGGTGGGCCACACAGGGTCAGGGTGGTGTGACACCAGGCCCCTGAGTGACAGGTATATGTGCACATAGCCTGGTGCCCGGCACACAGTAGGTGCTCATTCAATGCTAGTTGTGCTCTCTTTCCGCCAGCACCCTTTTCTCTTTCAAATCCACCCCCTTTTGCAGAATTCTGTAGTCATTACAGCACCTCTGTCCCCCTCTGGTGCATAAGCCCAGGCCGCAGGCCGTCCGGACGGCTTTTCCTCGCCATCTCCCTGTCTATCCTGGCCCCCAGGTGTGCCAAGTGCGGCTAGTCTCCTCTCCCCAAGGAGTCACCCTCGCAGCACAGCTTCCCGATGACTCTGGCACAACTTCCCTGGGTCTTGTCCTGGCTCCCCAGCACCTCCCCACTGTGGCCCTACTGCTTTGCAGACTGGGAATGTCCTAGGACTTCTCTTAAGTTCTCTCCCTTTAATCCATCCCAACCCTCTTGGGCCACCAGCTCTACTGTGGCGGAGGGACCCAAGGCACCCCAAAGGCACCTGGCCTAGCAAAACAGCAAGCCCCAGCAGGTCGGGGGTGGGGGGACACTGGACAGGGAGCAGACCCTCTGTGTGTCCTACGAGGGAGGGAGTGGCAGTTACCAAAGAGCCTGCAAGAGAGAGATGCAGACTAATTAGGGCAGAATCTGCTCGGGTGGGAGGGCAGCTGCGGGCTGGGGAGCAACTCTGTTCTCCAGGGAGCCTGGCGTCGGGCAGCATCTGGGGGCTGAGCATCTCTGAGCAACAGGAAGGCCAAGGCCAGAGGAGTGGGAGGTGAGCTCACGGGTGGGCGGAAGAGCTCAGAGCTCCCGGCTGGCTGACGTCAGGGGCCGCAGGACAGCCCTCACGCCCCCGTGCTCCTTCCTCCCCTCCACGTCCGCCTTGGGAACTTGATTAGCTTGAAGATGCCGCGGGAGGCACCTCCAGATTCCAGAGTCAGCCTGAGCAGGGTGTCCGTGGCTCTGGCTCAGGCACGGGGAGGGCGGGGGAGTTGAGCTCATAACTGTGGATTTCAGGAACAGGTGACTCCTTCCTGTAATTCCCAACCCATTAAAACTCCAGGAAATCAAAGCAGCCTGGAATTAATTATCTCCTCTGTTTTTCACTACTTAATGCACTTTTTTTCCCCCAAACTAGCTCGCTCTCATGTTCTCTCTCTCTCTCTCTCTCTCTCTCTCTCTCTCTCTAAATGTGTGTGTGTGTGTGTGTGTGTGTGTGCTGGGATTGGACCCAGGGTTTTGGACTCACTGACTTCTACCACTAAGCTATACCCCAACCCTCCCTTCCTTCCTTCCTTCCTTCCTTCCTTCCTTCCTTCCTTTCTTTTTAAATATTTTTTAGTTTTCAATGGACCTTTATTTTATTTATTCACATGTGCTGCTGAGAATCGAACCCAGTGCCTCACACGGGCTAGGCAAGTGCTCTCCCACTGAGCCACCAACCCTACCCCAGCCCTTTCAAGCCAGCCTAAGCCAGAGCTACAATTTTCACTTCCACCTTTTCAAATGTCTCAGGCTCTTCTGCTCAGACCCAATGTCTGTGTGATGTGTCACTCGGGTGCATGTCTGTAAGATGCTACAAACAATGCTGATGCCCACAGCCCAGGCACAGGTCTTGCTGAGCCCTTATCTGTCTTTGAGGTGGCCCCCAGTCCCCTCCCCTTCCATGACCCTTGGGAGCCAGGGTGGGCCCTGCCTGCTTTTGGATTTTCAGTGGGTCCCAGGTATGCAGGTCTGGGAAGGGTCATGTGTCAACCATAGCACCATTTTTATCTTAACCAAGATTTTTATCTTAACCAAGATTTTTATCTTAACCAATTTTTATCTTAACCAATCTGTATGATTGCATATTTAATGTTTTCAGTAAATTCACCTTTTGGGATTCAATAAATGGAACTTCAAGCTGGGCATGGTGACCCGTGCCTGTAATCCCACTGACTTGGGAAGCTGAGGCAGGAGGATGGCAAATTTGAGGCTATCCTGGGCAACTTAGATCCTGTCTCAGAATGAAATCAAAAAATAAAAAAGGTCCAGGGGTGTAGCTCCGTGGTACATCATCCCGGGGTTCAATCCCCAGTATCATGTAAAAATATAAAGGTAAAAACATCATATTTCCTGAAACAGGAGCCTTGATCATGTTCTAGGAGGAGGTCCGTGTGTCCATCTCCACCCGACCTACAATAATGTCACTTAGGTTGTGCAAATGCCTGTGGTCAGGGAAGGCTGCAGGCAGTGAGGCCTCTCTGAGGGCATCCCGTGGGATTCAGACTCCACGCCCCACCTTCCACCCAGGACAGGGGCCAGGCCAAGGGCACTTCCTGGGCCGAGGTGCGGCACAGGGCCCCAGCCCCTGGTGGGGGGAAGGAAGGCCCATTTCCTCTCTTCTTCAGGGGCCTGATTTACAGCAGGAAGACCAAAGCCATGCCACTCGGGAGGGAACAGGGAACCAGAGAGGGAAGCCAAGGTTATCCTGGTGTCGAGTGGCTCTCTGGAGAGTGGGGAATGTACCGGTTGTCACCTGGGCCCTAAGATGGAGTTTTCTCAGTCATGCTGTTGAATGTTGGTGATTTAACAACAGCCGCTCCACGCACCTCCTCCCC